AATCAAGTGTATATGGTTATGAGTGCAGATTTACTCTGGTAAATTAAATGAAATTTAATTCTTAGGGTTGCAAGTTCGAAAGCCCTGCAGTCTGTTCTATTCTATTCAATTGTGATCACGATTTGCATCGAGGCTGCGCAGAGACTAATACAAGACAGAGGTACCCCGCAGAGCAAATCCGTAAGACACTTCATTAACATACATCACCGCCCACGCATCACGCGCCGCATCACCACACTCTTCCATTACCACCGACAGCCACAAGCTGCAGATGAAGCCAAAGGTGTTGAATCCTTTTTATAACTTGCGATCAGATATCAGATTATCTACCAGTAATTTATAAATGTTGAAAATCTTATTAAAAGAATTTTATTCCGATAAACAAAATTGAAGATCTGCACGTGGTCGTACGACTTGTTTAGTTAACCACCGTTTTTCAGCTAATTATTTTCGTACGGATTTTTATATACAATACCCTGCACGAATGTAATACGCTACTTGACGATATTGACCTTTTATAAAGAACTTTGGGTTATTACTTAAATTAAGTATAATGAATAACTACTTAGTTTATTTCATTATATGGTGTTGACTAATTATGCAGATTTATTTAGAAAATAGTTCATAGTAAATCTAACAGAAGAATTTAAAATAGCTTAATCACAATTAGTTTAAAAATATAAAATTTACTAGTGGTGTACCGCATCGTGCCTTAAGGCAAATTGCTGGAACTTCCCGTACTGTAATAAAACATTCGAAGAATATTAAATGTTTTCAAATATATTATTATAAATACTGCGACGTTCATTATTCGTATTTTATAGACAAAATATAAAAGCTTATAAATTGGACGATTATGTTCATATAAGTTTACATGAAAAGTAAATAAACAAAACTTATTGATCCCTGAAGAATCTTGCCTTATAATTCTGAGAATTATATAAACTGAATTGTAAAGTTCTTTTTTATTTCAAGCATTTTAGCAGTAATTAAAATTAAAATCCGATTTATTTTTGATATTCAAAAAAAAAATTCTTTGAAATAATATTTATATAATAACGGCTCTGCCAAAAACTGTCATGAATAAATAATTTTTCTTAAAATAAGATCTATCAGGGAAAAAAACGTTTTTGCAGTGTACAATCAGATCTGCAACATAATCAAATCTGAAAGTGATTCGACTACGAATGTATATAGAATTTCACAATATAATCTATTATAATATTTGCCATGGTTATGTATTACTTCTATTCAAATTAATTTTTGAAATTTTATATTTGAAATTTTTATTACAATTACAATAAGTTTTTCATTGAATATATCTCGATTATTTACAAGTTTGAGAATATCTTTAAATGCTAGGAAATAAAAAACCTTTAACCAGGAATACAACGGAAAGCAATTATTTCCAGGAATATTTTGAAGATTTAAACGAAAAATGAACCTAAACTAAGATATATCGCCAGAAGAAGTTAAGATAGTTGTATTGCCATTTTGTTAAGGATAGTAAAAAAATATGAAAACTCAATAATATTTATTATTTTTAATTTAATATGATGAATTTGAACATTAAATTTATATGTATTGCGATCAAACTTAGATTTATCACATTAAATTAGACTGTGCTAGCAATATACTCGGAAGATATAATATTGTAATAAAATTATTATGTTGAATCATAATAATAAACTAGCTGTAAGTGGAATTCTGTCTTAAGGCAATTAAGGCATCGTGCCTTAAGGCAAATTGCTGGAACTTCCCGTACCAAAAATTATTTTTTTAAAAACGATTAACATTTTTGAAAAAAATTTACTTCGAAAAAATAAGATTTTTGACAAACAATTAGACAAAAAATTACTTTTTTTTAAAAAAAAAAAATTTTTTAATTTTTTTTTTTGAAAAAAAAAATTTTTTCTTTATTTTGACATATTTTGAAAGATCTAAACTTTTTTTCAAAGCAATCGTACTGCTTTAACTGCATAAAGACGAAATATCAAACCGCGTAAGCTCCGCGTCGGCGTTTAACGCGTAAACATTGGTACGGAACCCATAGGAATGTAAACCAAAATTATACTTATTGTTAAAATCTCTATAAAATATCTGATAATTTGATGTGCATATGTCTAATGATCATTTTTGACAGCCAAATGGCATTTTTTTTTACTTTTTTCATTATATCTCCGAAACCGCTAGACCTGCCTTTATGAAAATTTGATCGGTTTTTCCCCTTGTCAATACAAGTAAAATGTTTTTTGAATTATTAAAATCGGACGCTCCGTTCTCTTAAAAACTGAGTTACCGTTTTCGGCACTTTTTGCCCCGTATCTTCGGAACGGCTAGACCTGACTTCGCCAAAAACTAATCAGCACGTCTCCTTATCAATACGAATCGAATGTTTTTTGAATTATTCAAATCGGTTGATCGGTGTTCCCGAAATCGTCGACGAAAATTTGTATCCGCACATACATACACACACGCACACACACACACACACACACACACACACATACATCCGTTTTTTCTAAGGTATGCCAAAATATTCAGAAACCTTTGAAACGTCGAGAAATGCAAAAATTTTCATTTTCGATTTTTTTGCGATTACTATAACTTACCCTACGGGAAGTTAACAAGAATTTACAATATTATCTCAATCGTTTTTTAAAGGCTCGTTATTAAAAACTGTTTCAAAAATTGGTAATAGTTGTTATCCAATGTTGAAAAGAAAAAATGTGAAAAATAATTTCTCGAATGCCTTATGCAATCTAAAAAATATATAAAAGCTATACGTGTGATTTTAAGTACTAATATTTTATTCCAAAGTGACAAAACAAACAGTAAAATTGATTACAACCAATTAAACGATCGTTGTACTTGAAAATCATTTTATGCGCAAAATTTAGAAATCTCTGCACCACACTGCCACGGTTCATTTCGTGAGTATTCAAAATAGCTCTTAATATTTCCATTATGAATAGAATTAATTGTGCATAATAATGTGATTGTAATAATTACACAATGATGGGATTTTTATACCTATTGTCTTTCACCGGTAATAACTTATCACCGAACCTAATACAAAAGTACAGTTTTGCGTTGGCGTCTCTCTTCGAGTGCCGTGTGTGCCCATTTAAAAGAAAATTTTATTATTAGCGATGCAAAAGCTAAAATATATAAAACACTTGCTTATTAGATCATTGTAGATAAACAATGTGGTGTCAACGTCACCATAGGATGATTCCGACGATTTTTGCGTTTGAGTTAACGTTTGTGACTTGCAAAAATCAAATAAACTTTTAAAATGATTACTAGATTAGTTGAAGATAAAAGTATGTGGTCTTTAATTAGATTATAATAAGTTTGTTATTTTAAAATAAATTTTCTGTCTACTTTCTATATTTGTTCCTAGTTCGTCGCGTGCTAAATCATTTTATTAATCATAAATAAATTAATTTAGAACATGTTAATACCGTTGAGGTAAAGTGATAACGGAACAATAGCTTGTAGACATACTTACGTAAATAAATTTATGCATCCATTTAATAAATTCGTATTTCCTCGTACTAATTAATAATGAAATGTTTTAATCACTACTTACATGGAGTACTTAAGGAAGCGAGACGCATACAAATGATATTATTAAAAGAAATGAGTTGATCTTTTTCAGCATTTGCACATTCTTAATAATATTAAATTTTTTCATCATAATGCGCCTGACAATGAAAAAAGACTTATTATTCGAATTTCGTTAAAAATATATCACATCTTCTAAGATAAAGGTTTTTTCTGCTAAAATTATCATTGCACTTTTTTATCAAAAATTATCAATACATTCCGTATTGAAACGAAATTACAAAAATCAATTCTGAAATTTTAGCTGTAAAAACTATTATTGAAACATATATTGATATGTATTTACTCATTATTATTAACTTCCCGTAGGGTAAGTTATAGTAATCGCAAAAAAATCGAAAATAATTTTTTTTTATATCTTTACGCTTCAAAGGTTTCTAAATATTTTGGCATACCTTAGAAAAAATGGATGTATGTGTGTGTGTATGTATGTGTGTGTGCACGTGTGTGTGTGCGGATACAAATTTTCATCGACGATTTCGGGAACACCGATTAACAGATTTGAATAATTCGATAAACATTCGATTCGTATTGATAAGGAGACGTGCTGATTAGTTTTTGGCAAAGGCAGGTCTAGCCGTTCCGAAGATACGGGGCAAAAAGTGCCAAAAATGGTAACTCAGTTTTTAAGAGAACGGAGCGTCCGATTTTAATAATTCAAAAGACATTTTATTTATATGGACAAGGTGAAAAACTGATCAAATTTTCATGAAGGCAGGTCTAGCGGTTTCGGTGATCTAATAAAAAAAGTAAAAAAAATGCCATTTGGCGGTCAAAAATGATGATTAGACATACTGACATATGCACATCGCACATCAAATTATCAGATATTTTATAGAGATTTTAACAATAAGTATGAATTTTGTTTACATTCCTATGGGTTCCGTACCAATGTTTATCCGTTAGACGGCGACGCGGCGCTTACGCGCTTTGACATTTTGTCTCTATGCAAAGAAAGCTTGCTTTTAAAAAAAGTTTAGAATTGCCAAAATAAGTCAAAATAAAGAAAACTTTTTTTTTCAAGAAAAAGTAATTTTTTGTCAAATTCATAGTTTCTCAAAAATCTAATTTTTTTTAAGTAAAATTTTTCAAAAATATTAATTGTTTTTTAAAAAATAATAATTTTTGGTACGTGAAGTTCCAGCAATTTGCCTTAAGGCACGATGCCATGCGCCCCACTAGTTTCAATTGCATTATTTTATCAATAATATCAATAGTTGAATACCAATCGATAATTTTTATTACAAATTCGTACGATAGTACGAAATTGCAAGAGTTCTGCGTACCATATCGGCAGAAATATATGCTTGTTTTTTGTGTGAGTTAATTAGTACCATTCAAATATATAGTTTTGCATTAAAGTTACTGACCTCCAAACCATCATAGTCTGTGTCCAGCACAGAAGATTGCGGGAGAGCCGGTGGAGGCACGTGGTCGCTGCTCCAACACGCCGAAGAGACGGTTCGGGTTCTCACGACCTGGACGCTGCCTTGCGCCGTTCGCGCTTGGAGCATCTCCAACTGTTTGTGCTGCGAATGTAGACGCCCATCGGCTGCAGTCACATCGCGGCTGTCAACAACCTGTGGAAAAAGAAATTACCATTGTTACGTATATAATATATTATATGAAAAAGCAAAGAACAAAAATCATTTGAAATGAAGTAAGGGAGACTAGGTACGAATGCACCGGAGTACAGTAGTGACAGTAGTCACAACAGCTAATCTTTTATAGTGACAGTAGTCATAACAGCTAATTGTTCGAACAATTTTTATTATTGATTTTAGTCAGTGCCTTACATTAACATGATGTGTAGACCGCATTGCTTTTAACCCTAGAACGGTATCTGCACGCCTCCGAGGCGTACATGCAGACAAGAATGAATGGTGTTGGTACTTTTGTTACGGAAATTTAAAAAAAAAATGACAAGACTATTTGTTACTGAATCAGAGTTTTATATTTTCTAAAACAACCTTTGATGATATCACAAAGTATACAATGACAAAAAACGGATAAGAAATCACTTGTCAAGCGCAATACCAGTAATCTAGGGTTGAAGAGTCAAAAGTTTTCATGTTCGAGTTCTTGTAATAATAATAATAACTAAATTTTATACAGAGAGATCACTTTGCTTGTTATTTTGGTGTAAATTGAACATTAGTAGCTATTTACCAGCGATTAGTTTTTGCTTTGTCATAATTACAATTTGTTTTCAAAAATGTGCGTTGGGTACGGTTGTGACAAATTCTGTGGGTACGGTTGTAACATGTATTTTTTGTCCTTTTCGGGTGAAGATTAAATAGATAAAGAAAAATCTAAGTTAATTAAGACAAAATACGAGAAGGAGAGGAAAAAGAAAATACAGTATAAGAAAAAAAAAATCATAAAGAATTCTTGTTAACTTTGTTTAAAAAATTATGTTCTGTTATACATTGTTATATTTTATTTATAAGCTTTGTTTAAATGTGTATGTTTGGTTGTGTTACATATCATTGTTATTGGCGACTATAAGAAGTTGTTATGAACTATTTTGGTGTTTATACCTTATCGTTTTTGACCTATCTTAATGCCTGTCAAAACCGTTCTTGGGAGTGTGGACCGTTGTGACAATTGCCTTTTTCTTGTATAATTTGATTTTGTAACTGATTCATTGTATTTAAGGGCAGTTTTTCAGTATATCTACGTATCGAATATTTAAATTACTATTTAATTTACTTTTCTTCCAGCTAACTGGTAAATCACCAAAATTATGGCTGGTCAAAGAAACAGTGGCACAACTTAACCCAGTCTTTCCTATTAATATTGCTTTATGTATTTCACGAGTAGACCATATTCCTTGTAACGATACCAATTATTAGTTATAATCTAATTGTAAGATGCATTGATTATAAAATATGATACATATTGCAGATTAATAAAGATATCAGACTAAAGGTTATTCAGTAATTTCCAACTTTTTTTGCACCGCGTCCCCTTTAATTTTTTCAACAAATTTCATTTCATAAACACTTAACTGATATTATGAGACTACAAATTAAAATACTATATTATGTAAAAACTAGCTGTACCCGTTCACGCTTTGCCGTGATTTAGTTTAAATTAAAAAGTTGAACAAAAATGTGTATTTGTTACATTTAGTTTAACGTTACTACTATCTGTTCAACAATTTACCTGTTGAACGAATTGTCTACGAGTTTACCTATAAACTTGTTAAACAATTTACCATTTCATCGACTTACGAATTTACTTGTCAACCTATTTACCTATCAACCCGTTTCACATGTCTACCAATTTACCTGTCAACTTGTTTATCCGTCTTGTTTTTTGTTTATCTACCAGATGTCCTGTCTACCATTTTACATATTCTTCAACTTACTTGACCACCAGCTATCCAACAAATTTCCGATTCACCAATTTACTTGTCTACCAATTCACCTTTCTATCAATTTACCTGTCTACCAATTTACCTAGCGACCTGTTTATCCATCTACCATTTTACCGTCCAACAAATTTATCTCACATCCTGTTCTACATATCTACCAAGTTGACAGCTTACAACATGTTTATTTATCTACATATTCGTCTATCTACCAGTTCTTCTCTCTACCATTTTACATATCATCCAATTTACCTGTCCACCAGTTCACCTTTATGAATTCTCTAATTCACCTTATTTATTTACGCATTATACAAAAATTAAAGCTCAAATTGAATCTACGTTTTAGTTGGAAAACGTTTGTATGTGAAAAAAGGGCTATTTTTAGGATCTTCCCGGCAATTATTCGATTTTTTCTCGTCGTAAGAACCATCCTTGGACTTCAACAAACATTTTAAAAAAGAATTGGCCAAATTCGTCCAGGCGTTATTGAATTATGCGCTTACCAACACATTTTGCGATTCATTATATATATATATATATATATATATATATATATATATAAGATATGCTTAAAGAATAATTATATTTTTGTTTGTTTTTTTATATCATATCAAATTTTTCTGTTTATTCTCGAAAATTGTATTTTAGAAAAGGCTGCACGTACCCCTTAGGAGTCGTCCCTACAAATTGGAAACCGCCAGGTTATGATGATTATGTTCAAAATTATCTAAATTGTATAGTATTGTATTTTTCACCTTATCATATCTTCCAGCTTGTCCAACAATCCATCTGTCAGCCTGCAACCTTGCCCTTAGCCTGTCGCCAGTGAGCGGATCTAGGTGTTGCCATTCGCGTACATCTCGCGTTTGGCAAGGCGATCCGTCACTACCACCGCCGCCGAGCCCTCCGATCGAGGGCGGCCCAGCGGCCAACGTGTCCATCGAATCCTCGGATCAAACTAGAAATGTATAGTCCTGTAACGATAAAGTGAAATTAATGTAAGGATAAAGTTAAATTAAGATACTGAGTATCTAGTAGTGATCCATTCAATAACTTAAAAATAAATAAATTGTATATACTAATAAAATACATCATATTCATTACACCTTCAGAGGTATTTAAATCGCAACTTTAAAATGCGAATGCGAACAGTTTAAATGTGAGGACAGAAATAAATAATCAGCAGCAGTAAGAATAGCAAATAAACTAGTGGTGTATGGCATCGTGCCTTAAGGCAAATTGCTGGAACTTGCCGTACCGTAACGAAATGTTCGAGGAATATTAAATGTTTTCAAATAGATTATTACAAATATTGTAACATTGTCTAATATTTATAAGAATTATATAAACTGAATTGCAAAGTTAAAGTTATTTGTTTAAAGTATATTAGAACCTCAGCCAGAATTAAAATTAAAATCTGAATTATTTTAAATGTAAAAAAAAAATTTTTTTGAAAAAAAAAATTGAAACAATTTTTTCCTTCTAAAAGCAATTTTTTGTTAAAACAAGTAGAAAGTTATTTGAATCTTTCAAATCGGATGCTTAGATCTCTAAAAACTGTCATTTTTGCATATTTAGCCCTGTATCTTCGAAATGGCTAAACCTGCCTTTGCCAAAAACTAATCACCTCTTCTATCAATCATTACAAATAGAATGTTTTTTATATCATTCAAATCGGATACTTCCTTCTCTCAAAAACTCGATTTGTATTTTTTGTACTCTTTGGTTCGTATCTCCATAACGGCTAGACCTGCCTTTGCCAAAAACTAATCAGCACATTTCCCTATCAATAGGAATCGAATGTATTTTTTAACAATTCAAATCGGTTGATCCGTGCGCCCGAAAACGTGGATGAAAAAATGCGGACATACAAAACACACACACATCATTTTTTTCAGAAAAACGTGAAGATATGCAAAATTTTAATTATCGATTTTTCTACCCTACGGGAAGTTTATAATGTACATATTTTACAAAAAGGTATAACAAAAAATAGTAAATAGAACGAATTTAAAAAATCAAATTTCTGAAAATTGATGAAACTTAATAGAAAAAAACAGAGAGCAAAAAAATGTAATAAATTGTTCAATTTTACTTATAATATCATAAACTATAGTATTCTAATCTAATTCAAAGTGAAAACATAAGCAAAAGGTGCTCTTTAAACTACTAAACCTGAAATGCAAATACGAATTACAAACTAGTAAGTGATTTTAGTCTTGAAAACCAATATAGATAAATGATACATATCAAATAACGCCATTTAAAAGACAATTTACAGTAAATAATCAGTTGATCTCTAAAATACAATTACTCGATAACAATAAGAATTTTACTTAATCGTTAAACCATCATTAACTTCAAACAATGACGTATTTTCAAATAATACACACATTGAGATTGATATTTTTTTCTTCCGCTGAGAAATCTCGTTTAAATTTTCCTACTCTTCTGGATCAATTGTGTGCAAAACACAATATGCTAATATTAAGTGAACACGGATTCGTTTGTATATTGCACGTAATCATTTTAATTATTGTAAATGTATTAGAGATTAATTTAGAGTATGTATAAAAACATAATTGTAGTTGATTTATAAAAAAGGCCCAAGCACGTTTACAATTAATTGTAAGACTTAGATTAAACCACAATACATTAGTAATAAAACATCTTGTAAGACTTATATAAATTTGATAGTAAGAGCAAAATAGAGCAAAAGTGTTGCAAACAAAATTTCAAACGGTTCTGTGTTTTATTAATAAGAATAATGATCGTGCAATTCTGTGTTATATTATATTTTGATACAACATATTTGTTACATATTACTGAACTGATGAAATTGCAATATCCGCAAATTAGATAAGTGACGTACGTAAGTATCTTGCAAAAATTATGAACACATTTTAAAAAATGGTTGAATGCATTTATTGAACATTAAAATAAACTAGTGGGGCGCATGGCATCCAGGCTTAAGGCAAGTTGCTAGAACTTCCCGTACCAAATATGTGATAGTAATTTGACAAGAAATTACTTTTTTGAAAAAAAAAAATGTTTTCTTTATTTTGACATATTTTGGAAATTCTTAACTTTCTTTCAAAGCAATCGTACTGCTTTAACTGCATAGAGACAAAATGTCAAAGCGCGTAAGCGTCGCGTCGCCGTCTAACGAATATCATTGGTACGGAACCCGTAAGAATGCAAACAAAATTTATACTTATTGTTAAAATCTCTATAAAATATCTGATAATTTGATGTGCAAAAATTTTCATTTTCGATTTTTTTGCGATTACCATAACTTGCCCTACGGGAAGTTAATAACTGAAGTTACAAATTTGAAACTGTATTATTTTTTTAAATCAATAAAACTATTGTTAGTAAAGAGTTTTTTTTATTAAAATGTCAATTATTAATTTATACAAGTTGTAATAAAATTATTTATTACGTGATAAAATTTAGAATTTGTTTCACAACAATTTTCTGAAAAACTTAATCACAGCTAGAATTTGGAATATTTAAAATAAAATTAATTTGATATATAACAAAATTCAGAAAATCGTAATGATATGAAATTAATTGAATAAACAACTATAATCACAATATATAAGACATATCAGTGGCATGTATGAGAAAAATTGATTTACAATTGTTGAGTTAATCAAAAAGATTAAAAATACATTTTATATTCAAAATTTTTTTATACATCATTTAACAGAATATTAATATATAGGAGGTTGCAAGTAGTTTGTATTTTTCTTTAAATTTTTATTTTATTTTATTAAATTGGCCTCGTTCTATACAGACAAGGTTACAAGTAGTTAAAATGCAGTTTAATAAAAAAAATTACTAGTTGAGCATGGCATCGTCCCTTAAGGCAAATTTCTGGAACTCCCCGTACCGTTATGAAATATTCGAACAATATTAAATGATTTCTAATATTTTATTATAAATATTGTAACTTTTACTATTCGTATTTTAAAGACAAAATATAAGAGCTTATAAATTGGAAGATGACGTTTATATAAGTTTACATGAAAAGTAAATGAACAGAACTTAATAAAGTGGAGTGGAATGAAGGATATAAAAATTATATAAACTGAATTGCAACGTTTCAAGTATGTAAGTGAGCTTTAGAGTTTCAGCTAGAAATAAAATTAAAATCCGAATTATTTTCGGTATTCAAATTTTTTAGGAATGAAATAACATTTTTTTGCTTTCCCCCCAAAAAAAATGTTTCGTCAATACAGAAAGTAATCAGTACGTCTTCCCATCAGCAGCAATCGAATGTTTTTTGAATAATTCAAATCGGTTGATCTATAGATTTCAAATATGATTTCAAGTGAAAATGGCCTTTCGTGGGCATAGCTGTAGTGGCAACATGCCACTTGGAAGTAAAGTCAGCACATAGAGATGAGACAACTGTTTGGGTTGCCATATATAATAAAACAAACGTAGTTTGTAAGAGATTCATCACAACAGCTCATAGAACCCATAAGTTCTGATCGCTGTTCAAATAAATTAAAAAAAAAAATCGGTTGATCTGTGTGATCAAAATCGTGGACACAAATTTGTTTTCATACGAAACACATACTACACACACGAACATCAATTTTTTTAATTGTAAGGTATACCCATAGATAAACAATTATAAATGGGAATGCCAAAATGTTTAGAAATATTCGAATCATAAAATTTTAAATTTCGAATTTTGGACAATTACAATCACTTACCCTACGTAAAGATAATAAGTTGAAAATAAAGCATGGTGTTTTCGAAAGTAATAAAATAAAACAATCGCGGTATCAATGATTATTCTAGTCACATGATAATTATGATTTAAACCTTGTAATTTTTCATATTACTATGATAAAGAAACTGATTTAAGTTGCGAAACTAATTATTATATTCATCTTCATAGGGCGTGAATCTGTAGAGGCAGCATCTTAACGGATGGGTGGACTCTAGGTCCGCGGGCTGCTTTAGCATTTGTAGTTCTGTAGGATGGTTCGGTGTAAATGCAGATCCTGGGTGCAGATAGTCCTTGCGGGTCGTAAATTCAGCAACAATATGCACCAACGCAGACGTCTCGCGTTATTCCCTTGCCGGAATGCATATTATGCGTCGGATTCACGGCCATCAAGTACTCGACTAGCAAGCGCTCTTGGCAGTCGTCGACGCGTTTTGCCCGACAGTACTATACCGATAGTGCGACGGCCGGAAATAGGATTTTCACTATTACCAGTTTATTATTTCCGAAAAGTTTGATTTCATAAAATATTTTGTCAAATATGATGATTAAACTTTTACAGTTAAAAATAGCATCCTTGATCTTACGCATTTAATTGTTGAATTGATGTTTTCTACGCAATTACTGTTCAATTGCAACAAGAAATATCATGGTATATATTGTAAAAATTTTAATAGTCAAAAATTACATAAATATAAACAATATGTCATGTAATCTGAGTTTCTTTTGTGAAGTTTTTAGGCTATCGGGGGATAAACGGCTTGTTTGAATATCCACAACAAAAGTATTATCCACTATTACCAATTTATTATTCCAGAAAAGTTTGATTTCATAAAATATTTTGTCAAAAATGATGAATAAACGTTTACAGTTAAAAATAGCATCCATGTTCTTACGCATTTAATCGTTGAATTGATGCTTTCTACGCAATTACTGTTGTTCAATTGCAACAAAAAATATCATGGTATCATATCATGTTAGGATGTATATATTGTAAAAAATTTAATAGTCAAAAAGTACATAAATATAAACAATATGTCTGTTATCTTTTGTGAAGTTTTTAGGACGCCGCTATCGGGGGATAAACGGCTTGTTTGAATATCCACAACAAAAGTATTTTCTCTTGTTGTTTTTTCTTTTTGGTTGTGAGCAATGTTGTTTAGTTTACGAGACCTTCATATAATTTTTAAGTTTATGTTATTTAACTGTTTTATAAGATGTATTGTTAAT